AAATTATATATAAATATAGTATAATAAACCAGTAAACCAATCGAAAATATAATTTAAATAATTTGAATAAGTTGCTAAATGGCAACAATCTAAACTATATATCCCACCCAATTATCCTTCACACTCATACAAGGGCAAACGGCTTAAAGCCAATTAACATGCACTGCGCATAAGCATTTAAATGCTTATGTGAAGAGCTGAGCTTAGGAGGGAGCCTTAATATAATGCTGCATTCATTTGAGAGCAGGTTTTATGCTTCTGTCGCATCTTTATCTGGATCAGGAAGTTGTGTGTGAGTGTGTGAATGTGTGTGTGTGTGACAAACTCTTTTTCTCGTATTTACGGTTCGTTGACTGCTGCTGGTCATCAAGCAGCTCTTCAAATTCATTTATACAGCATTGCCACATGTCTGAGTGAGTCTGGCAGGAAGACAGGGAGAAGGAGCTCGAGGTTGTTGTCATTACGATGTATGTAAACTCAAAGCGTAAACACAGCAAACGATGACAATCAACATCAAGAACAACAACTGAATACTCGTTCTCTAGCAAGCAAAGCAAGCACACGCGGGGGAGCTCATATTGTGTGTCGGGGAGAGAGGGAGGCAGGGCAGACAAACAGTGCGACAAATCAACCGAGTCCTGCGGAGTCGAGAGGCAACAAGCATCGCAAATAGAGGAAAGTGTGTGCGTGTGAGCTGCTATTAAATGCAATTACAGGCATGCCATTTCCACACCCACACACGCATACACTGACACTCACACAAACACACACACTTACTTGCAATGGCGGCGCATGTCCTCCGCCAGCACCGCTCACAATGTCACCATTTGCGGCGCCTGTCAGTGTCCGTCCGGCTCCAGCGCCAGCCTCGTCCTGCGCTGCGGCAGCCACTTGTTGTGCATTGGCAGCGGCTGCTGCCGCTGTTGCGGCCTTGGCAGCGGCATCAACTGCAAAAAAAAAGAAATAGTTATTGAATAAATGGTAGACATATTATGCCATAACAACAAATAACAATTCGAATGCTAAAGAGTTGAGTGGATTTGACTTTCAGATACCCTTTAGATACATATATACAGATATATAAAATATATGTCTGTATGATAAATTATGCGAGCAGTTAAGATAGCTCTTTAAGGTTTTGAATATGTGCCAAACTTAAGCTGAATTCAATTGCATATTCAAGCATATTCAATAAAAGCTAAATTTATTTTAGCCAAAAATGAATTTAAAATTTTAATTGTACATGAATTTCTGAATTGTTAAAAAAGAAGAATATTAAAAAAATATATATA